GGATCATGAGGTCAGGAGTTCAAGACTAGCCTGGTCAACATGGTGAAACCCCGTCTTTACTAAAAACTACAAAAATTAGCCAGGCGTGGTGACACGCACCTGTGGTCCCGGCTACTCGGGAGGCTGAGTCAGGAAGAATCGCTTGAACCTGGGAGGTGGAGGTTGCAGTGAGCCACGATTGCGTCACTGCACTCCAGCCTGGGCGACAGGGTGAGACTCTGTCTCAAAAAATAAATAAATAAAATAAAATAAAATAAGATATTATGTTCATTACAACCACCTCACGTTACAGATGAAATATCTGAGGTTCAGAAAGGAAGTGAGTGCCCTGCTCAAGGCCATAAAGCAAGTTGATGTCTCCAGCAAAGCCTGGCATTTGTACTCTCCTTCTCCTGCTTCTTTAATCCCTCAGCACCAACTCCAGACACATTGCAGATCCAGTACTGACTGCATCAGCAACACGTCCTTAACTTCTCTGTATTTGTTTTATAATGTGTAAAACGGATATAATGATGGTACTTACCTAACATGGTTCTCATGAGTACTTAAAATTAAAATACATTTAGTACTTGGAACACTTCCTGCACATAGTAGGTGCAGTATGTCTAACCATGACAGTGACAGTGTCTGCTGCCTGCATTCTGTCAGGCCTGCTACATCTCCCTGTTGACATAGTCCAATAGGAAAAAGAAAGGGTCAAAATGGAATACCGTTTGAAAGAAAAGAAGATCACAGACTGGAAATTTCATTTACTCTTGCCCCACTAACTATTGTTCTATTTTAATGTGAGAGCTTATGAGGGAAGATATAGATGAAAAGAGCAAGAGCCATTCTTTATATTGAAATCGTTGGCAGAGGCAGACATTCTGAAATAAAAATAAAGCAGGAAGGCTATGAATGCTTAGGATAAAAACTGAAATAAGAAAAATTTTCTTTGATAAACAAAATGGAATTTAGATAACATGGTATTTCATTAGCTATTCACTGATCACAGAAGAAAAATACATGACCTCAACATAAGCTGTCACTTAACCATTAGTGACCAGAACCCAATAAAACGTTCTATATTTCTAATTTTTCAGATCTAGTTATTATGGCATAATAAGAGTGCCCCAATATGAACTGACATAGATGGCAAATAATTAAAAATAAGGCATGTTTTATCTCACACATGGTTAACATTCTTAATAAAATACCTATAATGGGAAAGAGATGTAATTGTAATTAAGCATGAAGGCAGTGATATCATCATATCCCCCAAGAGACAAGTAAGCAGAACATGTCAAATAAAATAGTATCAGTAAGTATTTCAGGGAAGGGCGGGCATTTCATTTTACAACAGATTTCTTAGATACAGAAGACCAGAACATTCACAGAATTACCCCATTATACTATTTAAAGCCACAGAGTTGTTACTGATATTACCAGTCTGCTTACCATTTCTTCAACATAAGGGTAAAGCATGTCTCCAAAGCATTCTGTGGCTTCAATTGGGAGCTGTGCTGGCAAATTGTCAATGGAACACATCAGGATCCCCGAGCCTTCAACACTAAGAGAAGCAATGTGGTTTATTCAGTAGCACAAAACATTATTTGTAAGTTCTGACTTTTCCAGATGTCTACTTCGTTATATTTGCTTCATTATCATTTGTAATTTTGTATAAAAGTACATGCAAAAATAAACAAAACTTTTCAAACCATTTTCCTTCTTCAGCAACCCGTCTCCCATTTAAATATATGTGTGTGTGTCTTTGTGTGTGTGTGTGTGTGTTCAAATTTGCATGTTTCTTAACCTAATTTTAGTATATTTGAGTATATCTCTCCAAATTTTCATAGCTTCATAAAGATGTAAAATATTAAGCATTTTAGAGTAGTATATCTATGTAACTAAGTGATGAATATCATCTAACAACTTTAGCAAACTCACCTGTCATGAATAATATGCTGGTCTGCATCATACATGCAAAAGGGACGCTCTATTGTTGTACACTCAGTCATAAACTCTATAGACCCTCCTGTGTCAGCTGAAATGTCACATATTGCCACAAGTCTGAAAATAACATCAATACTTAGATGAGAGGATGAAATTCTGAAGTCTCCAACAAGACTAAAAAAAAGGAGTTCAGAACAATTTTCAAAACGGATCCTAAATATTTCCCAGGCTTTTGGGGTCTTTTTCCTATAGCTCATTCTTCAGGACTCTGCACTGTTCTGTGATACAGAGAATCTTCCCAGTATGAGTTTTAGTCTCCACAAAAAAAAAAAAAAAAA